AATAAATAGACACTAATATTTACTGTTTATTTTGATCATATTTCACGGTGCAAGTGTTATGACTCTACAAGAAATAATAATTGGACAATGGATAAGACAAAATCTATTATAATTTTGAAAATCGCCGCAAAAATCGCTCCGTTTTATATTTCTTAAATATAGTAATTATAATGCTTTTCTCGTAGGTCTCGAATATGGAAGCTGATGTACCCTATAAATTCAATATAGTCAACTGTGAAAAGATCAACAGTCAATTTAATTTCGGTAAGATATCTTAATCTCTCATTATCAGTTATTTATTGTTTCTGTTAACATGCTGTGATGTACTTTCTCGCCAGGAATGCAGCCAGTTTTGTACAGCAGTGAAGAGGCGCTTAATGGCCGTCCAGGTTGGATACGAGCGGGAAGCAACGTYTGTTATTATCGTAACTACTTCTCGCGGCAGCAAAACGGATGTCAACGCAGTAAAACTTACTTTACGTCAACGTTCACTATTACGTTTCCGTACACGGACGATACGTGTTATCTGGCCTACCACTACCCATACTCCTTTACGATGCTACAGGTACGGCAGCTGGTAGACTGGGCTCTAGCATAAATAGGCCATTTGCATGATGGCGTAACTTTACTACAACTACCAGAAAGCCTTGCGCATTTTCTTTGTTATTCAGATTTTTAATCCCCTTAGCGATTAGTAAAAAAATAGGCACTAATTGCATTACAAAAGAAAGTGGGCAAAGCATTCTGGTAGTTGTAGTAAATGACGCCATAATGCAAATCGCCTATTGATACTATGGGACTTCGGTGTTGTGCCGTTGTTCAGAAATCGACGCCATTTTGTTTCACCAAATCTTGATGGAAGATGCGGTCACTGCAACTTTCTGTGTTTCTTTGTAGAAAAGGAGCAAGGGCATGCATTTTTGCCATTAAAACACAACAACGGATTAGTTAGGGATAATTTTAGCATTTTATTGCACAAAATGGCGTCGCTGCAAATTTCCTATTGTACAACAACTATAAATATTGATTGCCTTTGTATCCAATAGGATCACTTATCTCGTTTGGAGGCATCCGTATCAAATGATATTTTCTATCGTCGATTAACTCTCTGCCACACCCTATCGGGAAACCCCTGTGACGTCATTACCATAACAGCTGCGCCTAGACGTAAAGATTCATTTTCATTAGAATCATTCAGTAAGTATATAAATATGACGTCATAGAACGTTTGACGTCAGTAATGACGTAGCTAAATGTATCAGATGACGTAATCTGCATTATGGCGTTACTGTACATATGATCTCATTACTGCAGGTTTTGGAAGTATGACGTCATCAACTTTATGACGTAAGAATCGCTCTATTAAGTGACGTCATGACTTAATCTATATCCATTTTTTTAAGAAAATCTAGTTTAAAACGCTCCTAAATGGGGAACGTAGCAGTATATTTGCAAACGTTATTCCTATCTCTAATTTCTTGGCATGTTTTTTTTATTGTAGAAAACAGACCGTACGTATTTTTAACAGCTCGTGTACACCCTGGTGAAAGCAACTCTAGCTGGGTTATGAAAGGTAAAGTGTTGAAGGTAACCGACCACGTCGGTTTAGATGCACGAATTGATTATTTGATTTACTTTAAAGGTGTTCTGGACTTCTTGCTCAGCGCGTTGTACACTGCAAAGAATCTCCGAGAAAGATTTATTTTTAAAATAATCCCGATGCTGAACGTTGACGGCGTAATTAATGGATGGTAGGTCACTCTTTTAGACTATGATAAACCCTGCTAATGCGAACATTGAAGGGACCGTCCAAAGTGGTCGAATAAGGTGGTCAAACTTTACAAAAGGTGTGCACGTTTCTGGTTGTAATAACTGGGACCGTATTAAATAGGTGGTCGTTAAGCGAGATTCCCCTGTAAAACGTGATTTGAGTCTCAAAGTTACCTTGGGAACCATTCCTCTTTGTTCTGGGTGACAAAGGAACCCCAGGCTTGCTGGGGGAGAAGRCCGCTTGGAGTAACCAGAATATTCCTTTAGGTTGAAAAATTTATAAATCTTTGTCAGGTGGCCCTAAGCAGAGGGTAACTGCTACTATAGACATCCTTCCCCWATGTGAACGGGCTTTTCGGCTCGAAATATTATGAAAAGTAACAAGCATTGTATTATTTATGTTTCAGCCATCGTTGTTCACTGTCAGGAGACGATCTTAATCGACGTTGGATAAACCCTAGTATGATAYTACATCCCACAATATATCATACTAAAGGCTTGTTACAATACTTACAAAGTACCAATAGAACACCATTGGTAAGTGAATCAGTATGATACTA